GCTTAATCATCTGTTTTTTGCGCGTCATTGTTCTTCTCACTTAGCAAAACAATTTTATTAGCAGAATCGTGATCTTCCAATTGTGTGTTTTCCAGCCAATGTTTTTTGGAAATAAAAACTTAGCCAATTGAAATGCCAGATAACACGGGAGATGAAATGCCTCCCTATAAGAAAATGCCTCCCTATAAGAAAATGCCTCCATATTTCACCCCAGTTTCAACCGAAAACCAATCACTCAACCAGCATCTGCACGCACACCTCTGTATTAAATACACTAGACCTTTATATTTTGGTTACAGGATAAAAAGGCATATTACACACTAGTTTTGTTTAATCTACTTACTAGATTGCTTCCGTAAAGTATACACTTGTCTTTTCTAAAATAGTTACTGGATTGCTCCCGTAAAGTGTACGCTTGTCTTTTCTAAAATAGTTACTGGATCGCTCCCGTAAAGTATACTCTAGTCTTTTCTAAAATAGTTACTGGATCGCACCCGTAAAGTTTGCACTAGCCTTTTCTAAAATAGTTACCGGATCGCTCCCGTAAAGTATACTCTAGTCTTTTCTAAAATAGTTACTTGATCGCTCCCGTAAAGTATACGCTAGTCTTTTCTAAAATAGTTACTGGATCACTCCCGTAAAGTATGCACTAGTCTTTTCTAATCTAGTTTCCAGATTAATCAGCTCTGTATATAACGCACATAATACACAACATATCTGATCTCATCTGAATCCTCACACCTGAAAATGAGCCCATATTTCTAGCCAGAAAGTCAATGATATTATCTTACAGCTAAACATATTGTTGTCATTTGTGACAATATAACTAAGGTATAGTTGTTTACCGCTAAACACGCACGTGTACAAGGACCCAGGTTGCTATGGATAGCGCTTTCTGGGGTCTAAATAATAAGACAAGACGGGGGTGATAACTATCATAGTCATCTCTGTGTGGCTAATAATGGGAGTGAGAGGGAGGGGAAATATGCATCTGCCTGTGAAGAATATCGATCAGCATTGCACCTTCACTGACAGTTTGACAATTTTAGTTGAGTTTTTTAGGCAATAAAAATTTTATAATCAACATTTTCTGAAGTTAACTCCTTAGCCGTCAGAAGAATTTTTTTTTCCACGATACGAAAAAGAGCCTGGAAAAATTGCAGTCACAACTTCAAGATGGACAGTAATGGACATGCAGAAACACAAGTGTAAAGATTAAGCATTTCACAGTTTCCCAGTCTCTCCTTACAATTAATAGTGAATATTTGCTACAGAAAAAAACACATATATGCAATATCTTACTGATACAAGACAACACAATGGTCACTGCTATAAACCATGTGCAAATATTATCATTCTTATCACAATTGTCTGTAATCATCAACTATTTCTCCTTCTCGATCATTCTATTCGATCGTTGCCAGAAGAGTGTACCGTTGTTGTAAAATTGTGACCTCTTTTTCCTCCTTTTTCTTCGCTGAAGTTTACACCCGGTGAACGCTAAGAAGAAGAAGAACGAGTAGAAGAAAAGACGAAGAAGAAGAAGAAGAAGAAGAAGAAGAAGAAGAAGAAGAAGAAGAAGAAAAAGAAGAAGAAGAAGAAAGAGTAGAGGGAAAGACGAAGAAGAAGAAGAAGAAGAGGAAGAAGAAGAAAAAGAAGAAGAAGAAGAGGAAGAAGAAGAAGAAGAAGAAGAAGAAGAAGAAGAAGAAGAAGAAGAAGAAGAAGAAGAAGAAGAAGAAGAAGAAGAAGAGGAAGAAGAAAGAAAGAAAAAAGAAGAAGATGAGGATGAAGAAGAAGAAAAAGAAGAATCCAGCGCAGGATACCAGTTTTCGTCATTTTCTGAGACTGAGTTTTTTTTTTTTTTTTTAACTAATATGCGAAAGTACACGTTTATTTTACCCAAAACATTCAAGAATACCAGACAAAAACAAATAATGAAGGAAATTAAAGGTAGGCCATCGATCTTAACACAACTCCAAGCGGGTAAGACTTCCACCCTTATAGATTATACTTTTACTAGGGTCATTTCTAAAGTATGTCTTGGCGAGACGTCAAAAGCAAAGATAGGACAGTAGGTCCCTCTGTGTACACCATCCCAATATAACTGTTTTATGCTAATGTACAAAATGGAGGATTCGCTCCTGTTGGATTGGCATCCAGATAGTGGATTACTGAGTCACCAGGGGGTCAGAGCCTGCGGAGAATGAGGCACCTGGGTGTAACCAGAAGGTCTGGCCGGCTCACTACACTCAGATAAAAAGGCAAGACGGACATATAACCAGATTGTGACCGGTACCATCAGATTTGGAACTCTGTGCTGGCTCCTGAAGATGAGGACGGAGCACGCATGGAAAGAGTTGCACAGTGTCGTCGACCTCACTCTCTTCCCTGAGTCATATCTGGGTCCAGTGGCAAAACCGAGTCAAGACGAATGGAACTAGGTTTAGGTGCAGTGGATGGCCAGGGCGTTCTACGTGCCTCGCCATGCTTTTTGCTCTCCACAGCGCTTTGCTAGTGTCGCTGTCTCGCCTATTGAACCGATGTGGTTTCCTCCGCGCATTCTGTCGACACTTGTCTTTGCATGCTTGGATAGGCAGATCCTGACTCACCGATGCTAAAAAGAAAAATCGCTACCCTCACCTGGTTTACTCGGTCTGTCAAAGCCGTTGCCCGGGTGGTGGCCGCTGTCGCATGCTGAAATCTACGCGGAACCACATGTTATGTAATGTTATGTTATCACAATCGACGTCACTGCACATTGAGCATTCCCATGCGTGCCCAGTCCTCTAATGCAGCAGCCACTCCAAAGAACTTCTACTAATTGTTCACATGAGAAGCTGATGATAATGTCTCCTATCTCGGCCTCGAAGACTATATAGACGTGCTTCATCATGCTTTACTCCAATGTGACGCAAACGTGTTAGTGTCAAGAATTCCTCATTATCCAATAGCTCAGTCCGGGCATCATTGATTATATCTGCTCTGTCCTTGTTTCTTCCCAAGAGCTGAGTGTCAGTTTTGGACCGAAGGTTAATAAGCTGTCTTAAAAAGGACATGACAAGCTCCCCAACCTGAGGTACTACCAATAACTGACACCACATACACCTACACACACACACACACACACACACAACGAGGTATTGCAGATGTAAACACCATAGATGTAACCAAAGAAGAACAGTAATCCAACACAGAACTGGTGTCATCAGTCACCACACGCTGATGGACATAAGTAAGATGGGATCCTAGTGTTTATGGACTTGTCCAAAGTGCAATGAGGATAATCTGTCGATTAACCAACTAGCTTCTTCTTCTTCTTCTTCTTCTTCTTCTTCTTCTTCTTCTTCTTCTTCTTCTTCTTCTTCTTTTTATTCTTCTTCTTCTTTTTATTCTTCTTCTTCTTTTTCTTCTTCTTCTTCTTTTTCTTCTTCTTCTTCTTCTTCTTCTTCTTCTTCTTCTTCTTCTTCTTCTTCTTCTTCTTCTTCTTCTTCTTCTTCTTCTTCTTCTTCTTCTTCTTCTTCTTCTTCTTCTTCTTCTTCTTCTTCTTCTTCTTCTTCTTCTTCTTCAGCATTCCGAGCCCTTGAGTTTCATTGCTGCAGATATCACCTGCCTCCATTCATCTCTCTGGTTAGCCCTCTCTTTCCGTGTTTGCAGGTCTGTCTGGATATTATCTCTCCATCGTCTTTTTGTTCTGCCTCGTGGTCTACGACCATTCATCTCCTTGGTGTATACAGTTTTTACTTCTCTGTCATCTGACATTCTTTCAATATGTCCTAACCATTTCAGTCTATTAGCTCTCATGATGCCAATGATCAGTAGGGATCTAAACAGATTATGAATTTTGTTGTTGCTTCTCACTCCCCATTCACAGCTGTTTGCATCTTTAATGGGTCCAAAGATTCGTCGTAAAATTATGTTTTCGAAAACCTGTAATAAGGCTTTATCTCTTTTAGTTGTGCTCCAAGTTTTAGAGCCGTATAACACGACTGGTCTAATAAACGTTTTATATATTTTGATCTTGGTGTTGCGAGACGGACACTTTGACTATAGCAGAAGTTGAAGGGCATAGTATACTTTATTTCCAGATTGTATTTTTTTTCTTAGCATGTTGGAGCCGTTGAAGTTTGCAGCCAGGTACTTATTTGTTTCCGTTCGTTTGATTTTCGTATTATCGACTTGTATGTGGCAGGAGTTTATATTATTTCCCTGTCTAGTTATTATCATGTATTCTGTTTTATCTTGACCAATAAGTAGTCCCATTTATGGGCTGATTTTTTTTAAGACAGTCAATGTTTTAACAGTCTCTAGTTCATTTTCTCCAACGATATCAATGTCATTAGCATATCAAAGTATTATTGTATTTTCTCCTATAGTACACTCTTGTTTCAATTTCCTTATAATTTTCTCCAGGGCCAAGTTGAAAAAAGAAATGGGGACATAGCATCACCTTGCTTTAAACCAGATGTTATTTAAAAAGCCTGACTTTATTACAAGTGTCTTCCATACATAGTTTGGTCATGATAATCAGCATTTTTTATATTCCAAAGTCCTTCATAGCAACAGAAAACTGTTTATATGGACACTTTCATACGTCTTTTTAAAATCCACAAAAACATGATGTACATATTTTCTATATTCCCAATTCTGCTCTGCTATTTGCCGTAAAGCTAGAGAAGTCAAAACTTCAACGGTCTAGCCAGCTCTCTCATTTGCCCAAAGGTAAAAGGTTACCTAAAAAGGCGCTCTAGATTAATTCGCGTTAGCGAAATATTTGCACAAAAACACTAATTAAATACATTCTTATCAAATTAATAACTTTAGATACATATTATTTTCCATCATAAACACATTTTGACAATGATATATATTTAAAAGCAATGTTTAGCTTGTTTTATCAGCCGAACTACTTTAACGAGACGTAATAACTTCTTGTTTGGCGTTATTAGCCCGTATGTGTTTTAAATGTCTTCTAGTAGTTACTATGTCAGGTCTGCAAAATAATGGATAAACTTTGTTTTCATCTCGTGCTGCAAGCATTTATCCTGTTATTTCTTTATAAATATGCTCAAGGTAATGAAAGACGAGTCTAGTAAATGCATTAGAACTCTACATTAGGGTAAAACATCTCCACGCACTTGGATTGTTTACAGTACGATCCACGGCTGGCCAACAAAATGGCGGAATAGGCTCGCTAAACAAAGAACAACAATAGTAAAAACACGATAACCAGCGTATTATCTATTGTTGTAGAGTACCTCAAAACATGCATAGTATCAGTATATTTAATGTTTCAAGTGTCACTTATTAGGATTTGATTGTATACGCCGATCTTCGAAGGGATTACTATTCAGTGTTTACAGTTTAGTCACTGACTTAGTGATAGTATAGTCTCTTAGAATTCTAAGAATTGTTGTCATTAGACCGTAATACTAACTATAGCTAGTAGAAAATATTTAGATACTTCAGTCAAATTTTTAAAATGCCCTCTACACAAATAAAACCAGCACAGTTAGATAGCTGTAAACAATCCCTTTCCAACGGTACCTCATTTAGACTTGTAATGTCATTTCTGAGCTGAGATATGTAGGTTTTTGTGGAGATGAAATGTAAAAAACAGCTGTTGAAAACTTGTGTCTGAGAAACAAGAAGTTTTCTGCGCAACTTTTGTTTTGGCTTTGTTTTCCTTGGACAAGATGGCAGACAATTTTTCTCAGACACAGCCACATAATAGCGATTGCCACTGATAAGAAAGAAATTTTATACACAAATGTAAAATTGGACGGAGAATTCATTTATAACTAGCATTACCAGGTCAAGTAACAGTTAAATAAAGCCTAAAGCCAACTGAATACTTATCGCTATTTTTAATCAAACTGATGTAACAGAAAAACAGAGGACTTCCGGCTGTCGTAGACATGCACTGTTAATCGGGTTCGTTCCCGCCGTTTTCAGCTATTTATAGCTGGTGAAAATCACACCAATCGCAAAATTTCATGAGAGATTAGGACCCATCCCGAAACCCCAGCCGACATTTCGGAAACAAGTTTCAAACGGTTTCCATGGTAACGGAAATTGCCAAAAAGATTGCAAATTTCCGAAACTGTAGTCGCTAAAGTATTACTTCTGACTTCTGCTTTAGTCAGAGTTAGTCTACTGTCCTGCAGGACTCGGATCAGAGTATCCCACATCACGGCCAGCTCCAGATATAAGGCCGTACAGCTCAAACGGGAATTCTCGTTTTTGTAAGGCTGGGCGTTGCTGGTCAGTAGTAATAATTTGGCTATCCTCCGAATAACGGTCCTAAATTATCGAGGCCGAAATTACATCCTAACAGGGCCTCAGTCACATGTAAATTGTGAACCTTTTTCCGGCGACTAAACCACCACCGCTGAGAGAATCTCCCTTGGCGGTACGCACTGCGGAGTGGGGCTAAACTAGATGGCTGAGACTCGCGAGCAAATAAAATGGAGGAAGCTGCATGAGATGCGGTAGCTACTGCTCCTGTTTCAGTCAGCTAACTAGTTTAGCCCGGCGCGTCCTGGGAAATACTCTCAGCAGTGACTTTAACTCGGTGGAAGCTTTTCTGCCGTATGCTGTGTAGTTACATGTGACTGAGGCCCTGTTAGGGTATATTTTCGGCCTCGATAATTTGTGACCGTTATTCAGAGTATAGCCAATAGTTGTTATAAAGTAGATTGGGCTATCCTCCGAATAACGGTCCCAAATTATCGAGGCCGAAAATATACCCTAACAGGGCCTCAGTCACATGTCAAATGGGAACTTCTGAGGACTATACTGCCACCGCCAAATTGCGGACTTCCAGGGACTGCCGCTACCACCGAGAGTATCTTCCACGATGCTACGCGTGGCGTGGATTGGGACTAAACTAGATGGCTGGGACTTACAAGCAAATAAAATGAAGGAAGCTGCAAGAGATGCGGTAGCTTCTGCTCGTGAGTCCCAGCCATCTTGTTAAGCTCCAATCCACGCCGCACGTATTGGCATGGGAGATACTCTCGGCAGAAGTCACAGGAAGTGCGCAGATTAAGTCGCCGGAAGTCCACAATTGACATGTGACTGAGGCCCTGTGAGGGAATATTTTCGGCCTCAATAATTTGGGACCGTTATTCAGAGGATAGCCATAGATTTATACGCAAATTGAACTGATACAGTTTAATTAATTTGCAACATGCGTTATTGAATGAACTATCATTTTAAAGATAAATAAATGGGCTATTAAAAAATATGAACCTTCAAAATTATACTTAGACGTTTCAATGAATCCAGAAATGTTGCTTATAACCTGTAAATCATGGCTGTTCAACTTAGTTTACTCAAGAGCCAAAAACTTGAAAAATGAGGATTGTCATGGCCAAGAGGAATGAGCATGAACCCTTAGCATAGCTAAGATGGATCATATGATTAATACAGCAATAACAGTACAACAAGCAATGGATACTTGGGCCACTTGCTAGGCCACTTTTGGCCATATTTTGCCCTCAGAACGCCAGTTGAATAGCCCTGTTGTATACTGACTTGACTACACTACAACAGTGTAGTGAGTAGTGTATCGGAAGCCCATTGTAGAACTACTTTTGTAAGCTCAGCTACTGGGACTAGCAAGTAGACTGATGAATGCAAAATACTTTTTTTTTTTTTTTTGGTTTGGTGTTTAACTTTTTACATAATAATTTTAAATTGCAGTGTAGTAGTTACTTTCCTGTAATACTCATTGTCATGCCTTTCTTTGTATATTGTTTTGTCATTGCAGTATCCTTGGTTTCTGAATTATAATTGTATTCCATAAAAGCTGTAGCTTCATGTAATAGTAATACATACATTGTATTTTTCAAATTTTAGTTTTATACCTTCATTGTTTTGACAATGAAAGTTGAAAAAAATTACTAAAGTAGACATGGCAACAGACAAGGCTTCACAAAAAGCAATTTTATAGATACAGCAGTAACAAAGCCAGAGGTTAGCCATGCAGAAACATAGGAGACACTAAAAAGATCTATATATATATATATATAAATGAAGCAAATAGATGGGCCTGTTCCAGAGATATCGTATATTGTCCTGATGCTGCGATGAATTCCATTTGTAGAAGAGAAGAAATGGAGCAATAGTAATAAGCATCGAAAGCAAATACCTAACAAATTTTTATGAACATTAAATAGGATGAGTTCAAGAAAAGCAAAAAAAAAAAAAAAAAAAAAAAAAAAAAAAAATTCTGGACAGCCACTGTTATCAAAAGTTATAGGACAAAGCAGATGGCATATTCGGCACATCCTGAGGAGAAGCGGTCAGGGAATCACAATACAGACTATTCAATTGGAAACAAATGGAGTCAGGACATCCAAAGGAAACCTTAAGATAATTTTTTGGAGAAAGAGATCAAAAGGTCTGGTCTGGATTCCATAAATGAACAGGTGTACAGGACAGAGCGGAATAGAAGAATACACTGCGAGTGCTGTGCAACTTTAAATAGCACAACTGATGAATTACATCTGTTGTGAGCATCATTTACCTATCACACACACACAACCAATTAAAATGACAATTGCATGCCACATTTTGTTCAAACATTATGTCAGTGGACATGCCACAGAGGAAGGCAGAACTTTAAAAAGTGTTTTATCGACATAAAATTTACGATTACAAATGATAGTGTCCTGGCAAAGAAAGTGCATAGCATTTATTTATCACTGTTGAATATGTTTGATAATATTCATTACTTGAAATTAGGTATTAGAGCAGTTGCCTCCCTTTGGTGGTTCACAGAATAAATTTAAGCAGCGCATGATATCATTATTTGAAATAAAATAAAAAAGTAACCCTTAACAACATAATGTTGGTTTTTTTTTGTTTTGTAGTTCAATTTTTTTTTTTTATAAATTATCATAAATTCTTCAAAATATCTGGTTCCATTTCAGCTGCAGGCGGTTTGCAGAAGACCACTTTTTGTTAATTTTGACAATAGTATGGAGAGCCCACCGGTCCGAAAGCAATTTCAAACTATTGAATTTAACTTGCCTAGTAAAACTAAGCAGCAAAAAAATGCTGTGGAGGGTTTTGCAATGTCCTGTAAGGCATACACGCATTTCCCTGTGTGGGTTCCGAGGCCCCATTGTGGGGTAAATTAGAATAGACCCATTGGTCTCCAACAAGCCTGTCATAGGAGTCAGCTAATTGGGGACATCCTTCGTACTCAGAGTGCACCTGCCTGAGAGCCAAGGAACCAAGAGTCTGCATTGATAAGCCAGATCTGCAAAACGGATGTGCACGCAACACTCAGGTTCTGGAACAAGACCAAAGCCCTGGGGTGGGCGAACACCCACAACTTTCCGCCAGAGTTTACAGTCGGTGAACACGAAGAAGCAGGATACACAGTTAACTTCAGCATGACCAATACAAAGTAGTGGATCTGTGGCAAACCTATGTAAATAAGAGGTGTTTGGAGACCTTAGCTTATTGGGTACCTCTCTATTAGAGTAATTTTGTACTCTGAATAATGTTAGAGGGTTTTTCATTGGAGATGCTGTTTTAGAGTGTTTGATTACAATGATATAGTGTTTTGTCAACAGGGATCAAATGTTACCAGTGCCACAACTGCAATCACCCTGGAGTAGCTGAAAACAGCACCTGTGTCATCGACGGCGGATACTGTGTCTCGATCATTGTTCGAGATAAGGAGAAAAATAAAGATGGAGTTGTTATTAGTAACAAAGAAGTCATTCGAATCAGTCGCCGGTAGGTACTTTTTGCTAGAGCATCTTGCTTAAGAACATGTTTCTGGGAATGCTAGCTAGCCTGGACAGCAAATACCTGCAGAAGTTGGATGTGTCTGCTGAAAGGTGTAAATATCGCAGCCATATTGTAAACATGCCCGAAGAATTTATGTCTTCGGGTGAATGCAGAAAAAGAAGGAATTTTTCTTTTCTCAGGCTTTCCTTAAGCGTAGGCTTCTTTTAGAAGTGGTGAATAGTTTGCATGCAAAATGTTTGTGTATTCATTTGAGTCATCGTCATTATTATGTGCCACGCCGAGAACTTTTGGCGATCATGATTTGTTATTTGAGACAGTCAGATTCTGTCAAGTATGCACATGCGAATCCTCAAACGTAGGAAACAGTTTTATCACAGGAACTCATCTATCAGTGTCAGTCCTGGAAACAGTAACAAGAAGTTCCTAAAGTAGCTGATTTTAAGATATGACAGGGCATAAGTATGTGCACAGTCATCCTGTAAATAGTATTTTGAGAAAGTTATAAACATTTATTAATTATGTAAACCGATAATGTTACTAATTTTAGAGTTTGGAAGTCACAGATAGGCTGTAAGGCAGGGGCTATTCAACTAAGTTTATCCAAGAGCCAAAAAGTTGAAAATAGGGATCATCACGGCCCAGAAGTCAAGAGTCCCAGCATAAATAGATCCGTAATACAGTACAAATGGCAATGCTCCGCGCGCAACTGGCTTGGCATCTGCAGGCCACCAGTTGATTAGCCATTCTTGTTGGAAGGTATGTTTGCTGAGGAAATTGTTTGTGTGAAAACCTACCCGTGGGGTTGAAAAAAAAAACCGATGACCTTGGATTGAAGTAAACTGAACTCACACAAATATGTACCAATTTGTAGTTTAAATGTGATTAAACTTTGTATCCAGGCTGTTGATTTCTTGCTTCTCAAGCAGAAGCACTTTGACTTCGAAGAAAGCCAGCCAGTTAGTCAACTCTTACAACATGTTTGTTATGGAGGCAGTGGACCTATTATTGTTCTATCTCTCCCCCTCCCCCCCAATGGGGCCCCAGAACCCCCACAGGTAATCTGCATAGAAATATGGTAGATATGTAAATTACTTGTGCACGCAAAACTCATGTTCTGGAACAAGACCAAAATCCAGAAATAGGTGAACAACCAGAGTTTTCAGCTGGTGGAGATCAAGAAGAATAGGAAGAAGAAAAGGAAAAGCAGAATAGCATAAATATATTGAAATCTGTACCTGAGTTTAGGTGTCTGGAGAAAGCAAGATTTATGTGTAATTATTTTCTGGATAATAGCATTAGCATGTTCACTTCTAAACAGGACTTAGGTGTCCATTTCATTAATTTGTCTGTGGCTGATAGCTTACTTACTTACTTAGCCGCTCCTCTTCTACCTTGGGGGTTAGAGGTTTGCCAGAGAGATCACCTGATGTCTCTATCAGCAGTTTGTGGCTGATAGCATTAGTAACAAAATCAGCCAGCAGCTAGAGCATACTACATGCGAACAGCAGGCTATGAGACAAGAGGCTGACCAAGAAAGACATTGGTAGATGGAGTAAAAGACACTACAGAAGTGGGAGGTGATATTAACACAGGCTACTCAACTAGCAGAAGACAGAAAACTGAATCTAACTCCACACTGTGACACTTTACATAATAACAAGAAAAGAAATAAAACTGAACAAAAAATATATTAGCAAGCTACACTATATAACAAATACAAGCAAAACGTGAACATTGTGACTATGGAGCCTTCATCAGCACATACAAATCAAACAATACTACACAAATACACAAAAATCACTTAGCTGGTATCTCAAAGCAGCCGGGTCGATAGATTCTCAGCAGAATGCCTACACTTGTGGGCTGGGAGAATAAGTAGAGTACAAGAGGTTATAACTGGGGGGTTAGAGATAATACTGAGGGCAGTTAAATCCCCTAGGAGTTCAAATGAAACTGTTGCCAATTTAGTCCTAAGGGTGTTAAAGTCCCTAAAGTGTAAACAAAGAGACTTCCAGACTCTGTCGCTTGAGTGGCTAGATTTAATGGTTGCCACCTCCATGTCTAGGACACCTTGGTGATCCTGGGAATTGAAGTGCGACGGTACTGGTTTCAAGGCACCATTTTGCACATCCAAAAGATGTCTGAACCTGTCAGCCAGCCGTAGACCTGTTTCACCAATGTATTTCATGCCACATCTCTTGCTGGTGCAATAGAAGGCTTCAAGTATGTGGAAGGTGGCGTTCGGGAATTCTAGACTAGTCACCAGGACCACATGTGGATAGGTCCTGCGTACAGGTCATCAGAACCAGTGGGACAGAAGAAGAAGAATAGCGGTAGTGTTTTTCACATGTGGATGTAACTTAGATGCCTTGTTTATAATTATTTATAATGTGTTTATTTGTTCATAATAACAGTAATGGGTTGACATCTGTATCTGAAACTAGGTGCCTGGAGAAGGACAAGTTTTCACTGCAAGGCCGGGCTCTCATGTGCTTTGTCAATGATGCCATGAAACATGAGCAGAATGTGCGGTGCTGCAGAGACCAAGATTTGTGCAACTATGAGGTCCCTGAGTTAGCACCATTACCATCTGAGAGAGTTGATAAGAGGGAAACAGGTAATTTATAAATACTTCATTTTTTTTTTCTTATTGCCTGATTGATTCATTAACCAGGCAGATTTCATTTCTTCTTCTTATTTTACGGACTCATTGATCATATTGTATATCTTCTTTTATTATCCAACCACCTAACTACATTGTGCCTGCTTATAGCATAGCTGCGCTATTTGCACTTTTCAGCGAACACATCCAACTTAACATTGTCTCATTGACACATTGACTAGATTGTTTTGTAAGTTTATTATTCATTAGATTGTATATCATCTCATTGTTTGACTAACTCATTAATCAGACTGCTTATCTTATTTTGCTGACAGGATAATGACTCCATTAGCCAGATGGTGCCATGATGTTGATCTGCCGTCTAAACATAAACCATCACCACCAACCACATCTCCCCCCCCCCCCCCCCCCCCCCAGTGTGGTCTCCATTAATCATCATAGTGTGTTACTGATATCACCTCCATCGTCATGCTGCTGGTTGTCATCGAGAAGGCGCCGTTGACTTCTTTGACTGTTCTGCCCGCTGATAATGCTACGAACATCCATGTGCTTCTTTGTTGGCGTATAACAGATGTTTTTTATTTTTCTTGCAGATTCTGGCGATGGGATGACCAAAAGTGTCATCATCATAATTTCTGTAATTGTTGTGTTTATAATCATCGTGGTCATAGTTGTCATCTATCTGAAGAAGCGATTAAGGCCTTATGCACCACCACCGGATCAGAACATAGACACCAATCCACTCATGGGCTCTCAGCCATCGTCTCTGAAAGAACTCTATGACTGGTCACAGTCTGGATCAGGCTCGGGTCAGTACAGTTTGTTTCTGGCTGTCATATCCTTGTTCTTGGTCTCATTTTGTCTGTGCATGTCAGTGATTGGGGCTTAGTTTGTCAGTACTTGTGTCTTAGTCTATCAGTATTTGTGTCTTAGTCTATCAGTACTTATGTCTTAGTCTATGAGTATTTGTGTCTTAGTCTGTCAGTACTTATGTCTTAGTCTATGAGTATTTGTGTCTTAGTCTGTCAGTACTTATGTCTTAGTCTATGAGTATTTGTGTCTTAGTCTGTCAGTACCTGTCTTAGTGTATCATTGCTTGTGTCTCTGTCTATCAGTACCTCTATGTTGGTCTGTCAGTACTTGTGTCTGAGTCTATTTTTATTGACCATTGGCATGCAGAGGGCATGTGGTCAACTTACAGTTTATCACTTTCGTGTACCTTTTTATCTCTGCATAGCTTGAAGTGCTTAATCAGCCCTTCCTTACAAAAACAAAACAAAAAACATGTGTCTACAGCATGCAGATGGCACATCTGGGCTATTCAACTGGCTGCCCACGAAGGCCTAGCAAGTTGCCTGCAGATCATTGACAGTTGGGCTGTATCAATGACCTTTCTATGCTGTGACTCGGGTTTCTGGTCCATGACGGGCCACATTTTCAAAAATTTCTGACCCTGAGTCAATTTAGTTGAATAGTCCTGCCCTACATCAAGATATGGATGTGTATTTGACAGTAGGTAAATAAATTCAGTGAGTGCTCTTATGCAAGGATGCTTGAGTTTTCTGTCAGCTCAACTCAATCTAAAATAGGTACCAGATAAGGTAAAGTCATGGAATATAAAGGTGATCACTGTGAGACTGACCACATCAGCCATTGAGTGTCAGATTATTCTGTATTGACCACCAGTAAGGGTGTTTTCTTACTTATTATGCCCCTTTGTTTCATTATCTGCCATATCTTAATTGTATGATTTGTGTGGTTTTATTTCTTTAAAGGTGTTATTGTTAGGGTATTAAGTTCAGAGACCTGGTGAGATTTAAAAAAAAATATTAGTCACTCATAAATATTGCTTTGTGAATGTCCATAAATTCATTCTTTTGATGAATTGATGCTGTGGTTTTTCCCAGATCTCACATCTACAAATGTCATTCTCTAATAAATATAGAAACTTGTTCTGGGCAGCTTAATATGGTGGTTTTCTTTAGACCAGTCTTTTCCATTTGGTGGGCCACTGACCCTGGTAGGTCCGTGGAACACATTGAGGAGTCCATTATATATATTTTTTTTACCCTCAAGCAATCCATTTATGATTCTTATTTGTATACATTTTAATATGTTCTGCGGTACGACTATTAAAAATTGTCAGGTCCATGGTAGAGCTTCGAATGAACGGGCACATTTTTTTTTCAAAGGGTCACAAATTGAGCACGCTGGCCCGCCTTACATTCGGCCCTTCCAAACACTCATCCTTCACACAGCAATTGTATTTTATCATTAAAGCATGTTGTGTTTGTATAATAATATGTATATTATGAATATCACGAAAAAACACAAAAGCATGGGTGGTAAAATGCATGCGCATCCACACACCCACTCACACACACATACGTATGTACATACATTCATACATAAACACACACACAATCATATACATGCGCACACATATATATATATATATATATATATATATATATATATATATATATATATATATATATATATATATATATATATATATATATATACACAGACACATATATATATGTGCATGATCGCCCAGGCCAGTCGGCAAGGCACCTGATGATGATGATGATATATATACACATACATACATGCAAACACTTTTTCATACATATACACATTTACATACATACAGACACGTATACATATATACACACACACGTATACATACACACACACCAAAAATAAGAGAGGTGCCCAGGTCTTAGCTAAATGGAAATCTCTGCCCTAAACTTTCCACACCTTTACCAGGGGTTAACATTGTCATTCAGTAATAACACTGCTGTTTTAGGTTTGCCTCTTTTGGTGCAGAGGACAATTGCAAGACAGATTCGACTGTGTGAGATCATTGGCAAGGGTCGCTACGGGGAAGTCTGGCGAGGAAACTGGCGTGGAGAGAACGTAGCAGTGAAAATATTTCCTTCTCGGGAGGAGAGGTCGTGGTTCAGGGAAGCAGAGATTTATCAGACTGTCATGTTGAGGCATGAGAATATCTTGGGATTTATTGCTGCTGATAACAAAGGTGAGACACGTTAGGTAGTATTTTGTAGTGTTGTTGAAAGCATTGGCTGTTCCTTCCTGGTAAACCAGTTTTATGCTTTGTTTTTGGAAGAGAGCATGGGATTCTGCTCCTTGCTGGGTGTAGGTTACACCTGTAATTCTTAGTTCTTTAAGGTGGGGAGGCTGAATTCAGTGTCAGCCGGAATGTTTAACACCAGACTGTTTTTTTCAATAGTGCCAATTCGAATTGCTAGTTGAGTTGATTCAAGAACCGATATCACAGCACTCGGGGCATTTCCATAAGTGCCCCGTCACCATCCTCAGCAGCCAGTGAAGAGTTCCAATACTAATGGTGCCAGTAGCATTCTGATTAAACATGTCTTGTCTTTTCTCTGAGCCTCGAGCATCTGCCAGAACCTCTCGTCACTCCCTGCTGTATCAATTTCACCAGGCTGTGGTGATCCATCTGCTCCTCTGAACTGTACACCCTCTCCCACAAGGCACTAACCATGTCTGCCTTATCATGCATCAGTATTCCACCAAGTTGTGCAGAGCCAGCCAGTCTGTCCACCTGTTCATTTCCCCCCAAAATTGCTAGAAACTAAAGTATCTTTAAGTGCCATTGCAGTAATCTTTATGATGACTGTTAGAAACTGATGTATATTTGAAATCACTAACAATGGAGACTCGAGGATGGTTGTTAGAAACAAATGGATCTTTGCATGCCTTAACAGTAGCGACTCAGTGAAGACTTATGGATCTGTCAGTGCCCTAGCAGTAGAGACTCACAGAAGACGGCTGCCAAACTCTGAAGTACATTTCTTCTTCTTCTTCTTCTTAGTGTTCACCCGCTGTAAACTCCGACCCAAAGTTCTGGTTGTTCATCCACTTCTGGATTGTGGTCTTGTTCCAGAACTTGAGTTTTTCAAATGTGGCTTATTTGAATGCAGACTGCTGATTCCTCACCTCTTACTCAGATGCAGGCTGACTTCAAAATTGCTAACTAGTAGCTTTCTATGACATGCTTTTCTTTTTAGGGGGACAGTTGATCTGTTCTTTTTTCTTTCCTCCCTAAGTGGGGACCCGAAACCCTCACGCAAAGACATGTTTAAAGTTTTTTGCAATAGAGACTCATTGATGACGGTTAGAAATCCTAAAGTTTCTTTAAATGATCTTAGCAGTCGAGTTGGTGCTGTGGTTTATACCCCCCCCCCCCCCCCAGCTCTCACACTTGTATAAGAGGTTCACATATATATATGCATATATATATATATATATATATATATATATATATATATATATATATACATATATATATATATATATATATATATATATATATATATATATATATATATATATATATATATATATACATATATATATATATATATATATATATATATATATATATATATATATATATATATATATATATATATATATATATATATATATATATATATATATGCACATATATATATGCACATATATATATATGCACATGTCACTCTCTAATAAATATAGATGGTAAATTTGTTCTTGTCAGGTTAATATAGACCAGTCTTTCTCATAATAGCGGGCTGCTGATCCCAATGGGTCCATGGGACCAAATTAAGGGGAAACTCTAGTAAGTCATGTGATGCCTAAACAATGGCACAGTGGGGGGATATAGGATCATGGTCTGTTTCTGCAGTAGAGATTCTTCTTCTCCTGTCATCCTTAAAAAGAGTGGTTGGCACATTGTGTTGTGGTTTACAGCTAGGCTGCGATATCTGCATTTTTGGGCCCCAACTCATCCAGTGTCAGCAAATCCATGATTAGTTACATTTTATGACAAGCTTGTTAAGGGGCAGCAAATCTGTTGTTCTCCCACCCGCAGCTGAAGCTCCAGAACCCACACAGGGGCAGTAGAGATTCCGTGAAGAAAGTGCCGGAAACTAGTGCAATCCTCAAAGCTGACATTGTGAATATAATTGCGTATGTAGGAGTCACACCAGCCCAGTCGTCAGCTTGCTTGTTTGCAGGCATTGTGTCATATGTTCAGATCATTGCTTGTTTGCAGGCATGATGTTATATGTTCAGGTCAAAATCTAAGAAGATTTTTACCTTTTCTCTGTGTTCCCAGGCATAACCAGCCTAATGTTTGTGGCCGGGAAAAAAAAATGTCCTGGGAAGTCAAGATAGCTAGTGTGATACTGGTCTAGTATTCCTAAGTATTAAAAGATAAATTAGTTGCATCTCCTGTGTACGATGTTGCAGAACCAACCACAGATTTTTTATTTTGGCTCTGATTTTACTAGGCAAATACGTTCAGTAGTTTGGCATTGCTTGTAAATGGTCAGCTCTTGATGCCACTGTCGAAACTAATGCAAGTCGGTCAGCTGCAAAATCTCCTGCATCTAGGATCGAATGTAGCACCTCAGCATTACGAAATGTGTTTGTAAAGCCTAAACCACAGATGCCGACTGCTCCTAGGTGTACCCAGCCTAAAAATGGGTGCCATTAATGTCGGGAAGCAAAAACGGCCTGTCTGATATTTATTACTCAGCTTTCCTTCACCCATTGATGTGTAGAAATAATGAGCTAACACTGCATGTCCAGCACACTTTGACAGTTTAGTTTTTTGTGTGGCCCATGTGGATTCTCCAGCCCCAATGGGAGGGGGGGGGGGGAGAAGGATAGACCCACTGCCTCCCTAACAAAACATGTAAAAAAAAAAGTCAATTAATTTGGTGATTTTTCCTTCCAAGTCCCAGTGTATCTGCATGAAAGACGAGGAACCAGTAATTTGCATACAAACAAATAAGGAGATATGTAAAAACGGATGCAAGCGAAACTCAAAAGTCCAGAAGTGGACAAACAACCAAAACTTTCCCCTGGAATTTACAGCTACTGCATGCGACAGGGAAGAAGAAGTGTTCTATTGTTCCTTAGTTTGTGCTGATGTGATGTTCGCTGCTCCACATTAGTTTGTGTTGATGTGATGTTCGCTGCTCCACATTAGTTTGTGCTAATGTGATGTTCGCTGCTCTACATTAGTTTGTGTTGATGTGATGTTCGCTGCTCCACATTAGTTTGTGTTGATGTGATGTTCGCTGCTCCACATTAGTTTGTGTTGATGTGATGTTCGCTGCTCCACATTAGTTTGTGTTGATGTGATGTTCGCTGCTCCACATTAGTTTGTGTTGATGTGATGTTCGCTGCTCCACATTAGTTTGTGTTGATGTGATGTTCGCTGCTCCACATTAGTTTTTGTTGATGTGATGTTCGCTGCTCCACATTAGTTTGTGTTGATGTGATGTTCGCTGCTCCGCAGACAACGGCACCTGGACCCAGCTGTGGCTGATCACTGACTGCCACGAGAATGGCTCTTTATTTGATTACCTCAACCGCCACACCGTCACTGCTGCCAGCATGATACGCCTGGCTCATACGGCTGCTTGCGGGATGGCTCATCTACATATGGAGATTTTAGGAGCCCAGGGTAAGTAGTCAATGAAATGTTTACGTATCGTGCTAAGTGTCACGAGGAAAGATTGACTTAGGATTGATGATGTCAGGAGGAGAGTCAACACAGAACCAATACTGAACTTTGTAGGTAGACAAAAAATCAAATGGTTTGGCAATGTAACAAGATTGGCATTAGACAGGGCACCACAGAGAGCAGTGGTATACAGATACAGCCGTAACAGTTCCAGAGGTCAACCATGCAGAACATGGACTGCATAAACATCAGAGACATTAAAAAGTACTTCATAGGAAGCGAGCAGAAGAGCCTGTTCCATATAGCTCTTTCTGCCCTGATGCTGCAAGGCATTCCAGGAGTAGAGAAAAGAAGAAGAGGGTAAGTAGTCAGTCTCTCACTGTTTGTTTCATCATGTGTGCTTATGTGTGTTTGGTACACAGCACTGGAGTCACCTGGAGCAATGCTGGTGCCATAGCTAGATGCTTCCCTGTCGGCACAACGGTCTTAGGTTCAGATGCACATTGGGGTTGATTTAAAAAAAAAATTGATTTAGGGGTCAAACATCAGCCAAGGCTAAAATGAGTAATGGTTTTGGGAAGTAAAAGAGCCAGCATGTTGTCACATCACTGTAGCAGATTCTGATTGGTGTGTAAACAGTATATTTGGCAGTTATATTTAGTGTACAAATGTGTCTTCTGCAAGCTCCATTTAATTTTCACTTTTTTTCACAGCTGTTATTTCATTATACATGTATGTAAGAATGCTACATTTTCTTTACCAGTGTTATTTCATCATTCAAGTCTGTGAAAGTGTTAAATTTTCTTTCCCAACTATTTCCTTTATGATATCTGTGAAAGTGTTACATTGTGTGTCCCAGCTACTGTTTCATTATTTATATTTATGACAGTGTTACATTTTGTGTCCCAGCATTATTTATATCTATGACAGAGTTACATTTTATGTCCAAACATTATTTATATATATGACAGTGTTACATTTTGTGTCCCAGCATTATTTATATCTATGACAGTGTAACATCTTGTGTCCCAGCATTATTTATATCTATGACAATGTAACATCTTGTGTCCCAGCATTATTTATATCTATGACAGTGTTAATTTTTATTTCATAGCTGTCTTCTTGTTGTTCCACAGATTCCGTGGTTTTGTTTGTAACCTGTTTTCCCTTCTTTTCTTCTGGCCCATAGGTAAACCAGCAATAGCTCACAGAGATCTGAAGTCCAAGAACATTCTGGTGAAGAGTAATGGCACCTGCTGTATAGCTGATCTGGGTAAATGTCATGTTTCTGTTATTTGATAATCACATGAAATCTGTCATCTGGCACTCACTTGAGATCTGTGTCTCCTGGCACAAGAAATATGCTAGCGTTTGTCGTTTGTTTGAAATCAGTGTCCTCTAGTGCTTTTGTGAAATGTTTTTTGCTGCTCTATATGGGGCCGGGCCGTGTTAGCGCAGTTGATAGGAGACTCTCTTTCAAATCCAGCTGCGGCTCGCTGCAGCCCATGGCCGGTGTTCGAATCCGGACGGTTACCGGGGTTCACCCAGCCTCTAGGAAATGGGTACCAGAGTTAACACTCTGGGGTAAATGGAAGAACCTCGCTGTAGCTGCTGAGTTTCGTGCGGTCTGTGACACAGGCGGACTGTTTCTTATCAGCTGTCAGTGCTGGTGGCAGAGCACTTATGGTTTATAACCGTGTGCAGTGACGCTGGCTCACATCTCCTGACTTTACCTTTACATCTGCTGCTCATAAATTATGTTGGGCAATGTGCATGTTTTCTCTGATGAAGATTCACCATTTTGTGTCGTCTAATCTCTGTTGAGCTTCCCAGTGTCACAGGCAGTTCGGCTATCTGCCATGACCCCAAGACATCCCTGCTGTGTTTCTTTAACTGGAATTGTTTGAGTCATCTAAGTTTCTTCTTTGTTGTTAATTAGCAACAGACAGCTAACGTCTGTTAAATTTTTTTACTTGTAAAATTGTGAGTAGAATTTATGATTTTAAATAATTATTTCGACTTAACCTCACGGTGCACAGTGGGAACATTTTGGTGTATTGCCAGTTTTGTCAGTTGAGCTCATTTGGTCATGTAATGACATATATAATTCACCGAATGTATTATGTATATGCTATCTGTTTTTTAATTTAATATCTTTCAGTCTTATACCACATAATCTCTGTGTGTGTTACCTTTCAGTTAAAAATGTTTGTGGCGTACCCTTTACAGGACATTGCATACCAGCTCCAGCATTTGTTGTCTCTTTGTGGTTTTACTAGGCAGCTTTTATGTTCAGTAGGGTAGGACACTGAGGAAACCTGAGAACAGTATGCACTGGAACCCACAGGGACATGGAAATGAAGGCAGACCAAAAACAAAAACACACAGAGAAGGGCGTGAGAGAGAGAGAAGTTCTAAAAGTTAGAGATGGCATGGGGTAAGCTTCTTGCCATCTCAAAGGACAGGACGACTTGGCGTGAGTTATTATGCCCCATTGGGGGATAAAGGGCAAAAGAAGAAGTTTGCCATTGCTTTTTAAATGGTTTACAGTTTATGCCATTGTCAAATTAAATCCAAAGTGGTCTGCTATCAGATCGCCTGCAGTTGCATTAAACTGGGTATTTCAGAATTATGAACTACAGTCATAACCCTAAGCCACAGATGCAACTCTCTTGCAATACTCGGAATAAAAATAATTTGAGCTCACCGTGCAGAAATTTTCTCTTCTAAAATTAAATGCACATTATTCTTCTTAAAGTCTATGTCGTGTGGTTTAGAAAGTAATGCCTATTCATAACCTTCTATCCCATCTACTTTCATTTAATTCTGCCGCAGATGATTTTTCCTTGCCATGATGTCAAACCATCCAGCATCTCTCTCTTGGTCTCCTTCTGCCTCTTTTCCTCTCCAGCTTTCCCACCGTTGTGTTGTACAGTTTTCTCCTTCTTTTGACATGACCAAAGAATTTAGATTGTCTCTTTCTGAGTGGTTGTCTCCTTCTGACGGGGGCAAATAGTTCTCTGTTTCTTTTAAGACGTCTGCGTTACTCTTTTATGTATCCAGGGTATTCTCATCCTTCTTCTTTAAAAACACATCACCACTTTCAAGTAACTTTCACTCTAATTGTCTGTCCATGATTTGCTTCTGTATGTCAGGATAGGATTTATATAGCTCTTGAGAATTAAAAATGCATGTTATGAACAGAAAAATGCTGTAAATTTCAATAAGTAAATCACTCACATGCAGGTTTGGCTGTCCGCCATGACTCAAAGACGGACAGTGTGGATATTGCCCCCAACAACCGGGTCGGCACAAAGAGGTACATGGCTCCCGAATGCCTGGATGAAACCATCAATATGAATCACTTTGAGTCATTCAAGCGAGCTGATGTGTACTCGTTCGGCCTTGTCCTGTGGGAGATTGCTCGTCGCTGCTCTGTGGGGGGTGAGTGTCACTGGGTTTCTTTCTGTGTCAACAGCAACAGGTTGAATCATGTCAAGTATGCTATGCTAACAGGTCCGAATTGACATCTTCTTTGACAGCTAACCTGGTGGCTTGGAGAAGGTTCTCGTCTTCCACACACTCAGGGAATACTGTAGCTTTAATGTTTCTAAATGCAAATCAAAGTTAATGTTTGTAGATTAGCACATGTTTGTGAAGGTCCACATGATGTTAGTTGTGATATTGATGTTCGAAGAAATATTGTTGTTGCGTAAATGCTCTGTTAAGGAGTTGATAATTTTCACATACAGTAAAATCTGTTTACCACAAATTCCAAGGTACTGAAAATAGAGTTTATGTTAAAAACAGTTTGTGCTAACTGGGGCCTAATAACAGTAATGAATCCCCCTTGTTGGACCAAAATGCTTTTAAGTTCCCCCCGTGTGGGTTCTGGAAACCCATTGTGGGCAAAACAAGAATAGACCCAATGTCTCCCTAAAAGCATGTCGTAAGAGTCGACTAATTGGGGAGCTTCCTTTGAAGTCGGAGTGCATCTGCCAGAGAGGCAAGGAACCAACAGTCTGTATTCAAGAGAATGAGATCTGTAAAACTGATGCACACGCAACACTCAGGTTCTTGAGCAGGACTGCAGTTCAGTAGTGGACTAGCAACCAGAACTTTCCACCAGAGTGTACAGCTGGTGAACGCAAAGAAGAAGAAGCTTCTAAGTTAACTAAGCGTTCTTCTTAGGTGAGTTCGTGTTAAAAAGATTTTACTGTAAAAAATGTTTTGTTAGAGATGATAATAATAATAGTCACATAATTTTTTAGAGAAGATAATAATTGTCACATAAATATATGTTGGAAAAGATAACAATTGTCACATACGTTTATGTTAGAAGAGATGATAATTATCACATACATTTATGTTAGAAGAGATGATAATTGTCACATAAATTTATATTTTGAGTGATGGTCACATAAATTTAAATTAGGAGCGATGGTAATTGTCACCTAAATTTATGTTAGAAGTGATAGTAATTGTCACATACATTCAAGTTAGAAGAGATGATCATAGTCACATATATTTATGTTAGAAAAGATGGTAATTGTCACATACTTTCATGTTTGAAGAGATGTTCATAGTCACATACTTTCATGTTTGAAGAGATGATCATAGTCACATACTTTCATGTTTGAAGAGATGATCATAGTCACATACTTTCATGTTTGAAGAGATGTTCATAGTCACATACTTTCATGTTTGAAGAGATGGTAATTGTCACATACATTCATGTTTGAAGAGATGATCATAGTCACATACTTTCATGTTTGAAGAGATTATCATAGTCACATACTTTCATGTTTGAAGAGATGGTAATTGTCACATACATTCATGTTTGAAGAGATGATCATAGTCACATACTTTCATGTTTGAGGAGATTATCATAGTCACATACTTTCATGTTTGAAGAGATGTTCATAGTCACATACTTTCATGTTTGAAGAGATGATCATAGTCACATACTTTCATGTTTGAAGAGATGATCATAGTCACATACTTTCATGTTTGAAGAGATGTTCATAGTCACATACTTTCATGTTTGAAGAGATGTTCATAGTCACATACTTTCATGTTTGAAGAGATGGTAATTGTCACATACATTCATCAGGGTTCGTAGTGGACCGGGAAATCGGGAAATTACCGGGATTTTTTTCGCTGACCTTAAAACCGGGATTTTTAGCTTATAAAAGATATTCCGACCTTGAAAAGCCGTGAATTTTGACCGCGGCAATGAAATCGTCAGAAATCCTGTGTTTTTCAAGCACAGGCAATTTTGGGGGAGCCATTTGGCTTTTTTGGCCATTTGGCTAGTTTTTGGCTACTTTCATTGTATGGTCGTTTCAGGTGTGAGGGCAGCTGATTATTGGCTATTTTCAGCCGAAATGGCTTGTTAAAGGCCAGCGGAGGGCGGGCTTTGTTACAGATCATGAATACATGCAGACAGCAGCAGTGTGGCATGGGGCGGGAAGGAGCAGCTTCCTTCTCGCGTGTGTGTGTGTGTGCCTTTGTTTCTAGCAAGTCCGGCAGAATGAACAGTTTAAATCGTTTATGGCCGTGGTTTCTAGAAAGGATTACATTGGGAGATGGTGGGGCTTGGTTCAGTTGTATTTATAAATAGAGTCGCCGTGGTGGGGCTAAGCAGGGCCTTCTCTATTAATTAGAGATGGCATTGGGGCTAAGAAAAGTGACTGCAGCTGGATTTCCCAGTTCTATTTTGGGCCTGGATTTATCTTTACAGTGTGTTTGGCGATCAGTATTGTAATTCCCCGAGATTCCCTCTTCTGTTGTCTCACTCCTCTCTCTCTCTCTTCCCTCCCTCTTTCACTCTTCTACCTATTGCTCCTTCCTTCCCGTCTCCTGCATTGTCTCTAACCTCTCCTTCTGATCTTCATCTTCTTCTCTTTCTCTCTATCTTTCCTTTTACTCTCCCATTTCCTGTCCCCCCTCCCCCTTTTCCCTATTTTATTTCTTGTTTAAATGTTTAGTAAATGTGCGGCTCCATAACTCTTCCTAGCAACTCAAGTACACAGGAAGTTGTATTGGGGGGGGGGGGGCATTCTGTGTGAACATGGTGGATATTTTCTTTTGATGTGTTTGTTTTCCTAGCGGCCTTAATCTCTGTCCATCTCCCTTCCCGCCCCCTCACATTTTGTCCTACCTGTTCCTCACTCTCTGCCTGTCTGTGTCACTGCTTTCTTCTTTCTCTTTGTATTTGCCACTCTCCCTCACCCTCTCTCTCTCTCTCTCTCTCTCTCTCTCTCTCTCTCTCTCTCTCTCTCTCTCTCTTTCTTTCTCCATACCTTCAGTTGGTGTAGAAGGTTATGTGTTGCCTAGTGCAGAACATTTCATGTCCCACCATTCCCCCTCCCACACATTAAATATATGTGTACTTTTTTTTAAAAACACATTTGCCGTCACCCCCCCCCCCTTTTTTTTCTCCTCCTCCCACATTGATGACACCTAGGGGAGGGAGTGCACCCCTTCCTGCTACCTTCTTCCCTCTATATCTTATTTTCTTACTCCCTGTCTCATTCCCACTTTATTTTCTTAAACTTTATTCTCTCACCTCCTCTGTCTCACCCTTACCACCTCAGCCTTCTACACCACTTTCCACCACCTCCTCTCTCCCCTCCTTTCTGTAATTGGAAAACCAGAAATAAAACGAAGTCCACTGCTGCCCTGACCTATTTATGTGTGTGTGGTAAACTTCTCTATTTTCCACCACTGGTGGGTTGGGATCCCCTGGACTTTTATTTTCTTCATAAAATGACCTTGGCTCTCAGGTCACCAGCCTTAAGTGTAAGAAATTGAATTATTGTTGTCACACACAGATAGGACAAGCAAGGGGGCAGAAGTAGGGGTTAGCACTGTTGTTTTTTGGACCACGGCCACATTCACATTGAGAGAGGGTACACTCATTGTTCTTACACCCCCCCCCCACCCCACCCCCACAACCGTGTCTTACCTTTCTTCTCTCACCCCTTCTCTTTCCTTTGATCTTCTTCTATTCTCCTTTCTCTCTCCATTCTTCCTCTCTTCCTTTCCTTGCCCTCTCTCCTGTCCCATCTCTTCTTTGTCTCCTCTCCATCCTGTCTTTTCATTTTCTCTAGATTTCCTTACCCGCTCCCCTCTCTCATTCTTCCCCCCCCCCCCCCCCCATCATTTTTTTTTTTTACTGGTTCATCTACGTATTTTTTGCCCCATAACTATCTTTCCTAGTGGTTGTGTCCACTACACTTGAAATTGTGTGTGTGTGGGGGGGGGGGGGAGTAGGTGGCTGTTTTTTTTTCTTTGATGTATCTTGTCTCCCTTCCTGCCCCTCTCTCTTAATCTGTGTTTGTCACTGCCTTCCTTACCCACCTCTCTCTCTCTCTCTCTCTCTTGCTTTATGTCTGTTTGCCTCCCGTCATCACTTCCTCTTTGTATACCTCCCTCCCATTCTCCTGCTGCTCTGCCTTTTTTCTCTTTCTTTGGTTCTCTCCCTCTGTCTGCTTGCCTCTCTGTGCTGTCCCTTTGTCTCTCTCTCCTTTATGTCTACATCTCTCTCTGCTTGCATCTGCTTCTCACCCTGTCCGTTCTCTCTCCCTCTGTCTCCCTTCTTTTCAACTCTTTGTCATATTTCCTCCTTCCATATCTCTATTTCGTTCCCTTTTTCCTTCTCTTTTCATCTGCCCATCTCTGTATCTGCATTCCCTCTTTCTGTATTTTTTTTCCCTCTCTGTCTTTCGCTGTTCCTTCCCCACTTTTCCTCATCATGTCTCCATCCCTCCCTCTCATTTTTTCCTCCTTCCCCAGACTTCTTTTCCTTCTTTTCTCTACCTTCATCTGTCCATCTTTACACTGTCTCTCCCAGCCTACCTCAGCATGTGTCTTCCTCTCTCTTCATGACTCTCTCTCTCTCTCTCTCCCCTAACCCTCTCAGGTACCAGGTCCAGAACAGACAGGACTTCAGTTTGCTGCCCTCTACCACCAAGCCCTAAAAAAAATTTCAAACACTATATCAAGCTCAGGGGCCGACCAGCACGAAGATGGGCACAGGATATAAGTGACTCCTTGAGTATAAAAAAGTACATGAGACGGGAGAGCTGGTGAGAGACCGAGGTTTTTTTGTCAGGACAAAGGAAATGCTACATGATGATGATATCTGTGCTGGTATACCAACACATGTGGCACAAATGAAGTACCTTGTCTGTCAGTACACCCTTGAACAAGTCAAAAATCTTGTTTCAGTATTACACCGAGACAACCTTGAAAAAAACTAAGGAGACCTTGAAAAAGACCTTGAAAAGCCTTGAAATTGATTGGTAAATTTGGCTATGAACCCTGATTCATGTTTGAAGAGATGATCATAGTCACATACTTTCATGTTTGAAGAGATTATCATAGTCACATACTTTCATGTTTGAAGAGATGGTAATTGTCACATACATTCATGTTTGAAGAGATGATCATAGTCACATACTTTCATGTTTGAAGAGATTATCATAGTCACATACTTTCATGTTTGAAGAGATTATAATTGTCACATACTTTCATGTTTGAAGAGATGGTAATTGTCACATACATTCATGTTTGAAGAGATGGTAATTGTCACATACATTCATGTTTGAAGAGATGGTAATTGTCACATACTTTCATGTTTGAAGAGATGTTCATAGTCACATACTTTCATGTTTGAAGAGATGTTCATAGTCACATACTTTCATGTTTGAAGAGATGTTCATAGTCACATTAATTCATGTTAGAAGAGATGATCATAGTCACATATATTCATGTTTGAAGAGATGGTAATTGTCACATACATTCATGTTTGAAGAGATGATCATAGTCACATACTTTCATGTTTGAAGAGATGATCATAGTCACATACTTTCATGTTTGAAGAGATGGTAATTGTCACATACATTCATGTTTGAAGAGATGATCATAGTCACACACATTCATGTTTGAAGAGATGATCATAGTCACATACATTCATGTTTGAAGAGATGTTCATAGTCACATACTTTCATGTTTGAAGAGATTATCATAGTCACATACTTTCATGTTTGAAGAGATGATCATAGTCACATACTTTCATGTTTGAAGAGATGATCATAGTCACATACTTTCATGTTTGAAGAGATGATCATAGTCACATACTTTCATGTTTGAAGAGATGTTCATAGTCACATACTTTCATGTTTGAAGAGATGATCATAGTCACATACTTTCATGTTTGAAGAGATGATCATAGTCACATACTTTCATGTTTGAAGAGATGATCATAGTCACATACTTTCATGTTTGAAGAGATGTTCATAGTCACATACTTTCATGTTTGAAGAGATGATCATAGTCACATACTTTCATGTTTGAAGAGATGATCATAGTCACATACTTTCATGTTTGAAGAGATGTTCATAGTCACATACTTTCATGTTTGAAGAGATGATCATAGTCACATACTTTCATGTTTGAAGAGATGATCATAGTCACATACTTTCATGTTTGAAGAGATTATCATAGTCACATACTTTCATGTTTGAAGAGATGATCATAGTCACATACTTTCATGTTTGAAGAGATGATCATAGTCACATACTTTCATGTTTGAAGAGATGTTCATAGTCACATATATTCATGTTTGAAGAGATGATCATAGTCACATACTTTCATGTTTGAAGAGATGATCATAGTCACATACTTTCATGTTTGAAGAGATGATCATAGTCACATACTTTCATGTTTGAAGAGATGTTCATAGTCACATACTTTCATGTTTGAAGAGATTATCATAGTCACATACTTTCATGTTTGAAGAGATGATCATAGTCACATACTTTCATGTTTGAAGAGATGTTCATAGTCACATACTTTCATGTTTGAAGAGATGGTAATAGTCACATACTTTCATGTTTGAAGAGATGATCATAGTCACATACTTTCATGTTAGAAGAGATGATCATAGTCACATACTTTCATGTTTGAAGAGATGATCATAGTCACATACTTTCATGTTTGAAGAGATGATCATAGTCACATACTTTCATGTTTGAAGAGATTTTCATAGTCACATACTTTCATGTTTGAAGAGATGATCATAGTCACATACTTTCATGTTTGAAGAGATGATCATAGTCACATACTTTCATGTTTGAAGAGATGATCATAGTCACATACTTTCATGTTTGAAGAGATGATCATAGTCACATACTTTCATGTTTGAAGAGATGGTAATTGTCACATACATTCATGTTTGAAGAGATGATCATAGTCACATACTTTCATGTTTGAAGAGATGATCATAGTCACATACTTTCATGTTTGAAGAGATGTTCATAGTCACATATATTCATGTTTGAAGAGATGGTAATTGTCACCTACGTTCATGTTAGAAGAGATGGTAATTGTCACATATATTTATGTTAGAAGAGATGATCATAGTCACATATATTTATGTTAGAAAAGATGGTAATTGTCACATACTTACATGTTTGAAGAGATGATCATAGACAAAACATTCATGTTTGAAGAGATGATCATAGTCACATATGTTTATGCTAGAAAAGATGATAATTGTCACATACATTCATGTTAGAAGAGATGGTAATAGTCACATACATTTATGCTTGAAGAGATGATAATAGTCACATAAATATTTTCTTAAAGGAAAATGGTTCTGTAAATCTCATTAGATGCTAATTATGCAAAAAAAATACTGGTATATGAAAGTTGGGATTTAAAAATTATAAAAATTTTTTTTTTTAAATTGAGCAGGAATATTTGAAGAGTATCAGCTTCCTTACTATGACCTGGTGCCCTCTGACCCATCGCTGGAGGACATGAGGAAAGTTGTCTGTGGGGACAAGCAGCGACCAGCCATCCCTAACAGATGGCAGAATATTGAGGTGAGCTTTCTTGTCTGGGGTCAGATGAAGGTCTTGCCCTAGGGGTTTTTCCTGTTAGAAATCGTTTTCTTTCTGATACTTGCATTACAATCTAGTTATTAGATAAACAAAACCTGTAGGGATTATCTAGTTCCCATTGTGGGTTCTGGGGCCCCATTATAGGGAAAACAATAACAGACCCATTGCCTGCCTAAAAAGTAAAGTAAAGGACCCTTTTCCACGCCTTCAGGCATACTGGGTATATAGGGCTAGACCTTAATTTATAGACCAAACAGCACTTGGTGGGTGATGTGGTCAGCATTACTCCGGCCACCTCTACTTCCCAGGTGTTAAATATTCTCTTTTAGATTACATTTTGTGGGGGCTACTAAACATTTGCTGCTTATAGAGGCTCTTTGATTATTCAGTTACATTTATACTTGGTTCAGAATTTAAAAAAAATGATCTGTGTTGTGATGTAGAAGCCATTCTCACAGATCGCAGGGTATACAGTTAGCTTGTACCAGGAGGATTCAGTTATATGCTTTACTGTGTTCCTTAAAAAGCCATAGCAGTGCTTGCCTATCAGACTTAGAACGCAACATACGCCACTCAATGGACATCTAAACAGAATACAGCCACAACACTCCCCAGAGTGCCAGCTATGTAACTACCCCTACGAAACTGTTGAACACCATCTCTTTGAATGCCCAGAACTCAGTGAGACAAGAAGAACGCTACTCCCTCCGAGACCAAACAAGTGGAAAACCTTGTACGGAGGAAAAGAACAGCTTGTGAAAACATGCAAATTCCACTACATGGCATTGGGCCAAAAGGCGAAAGCTCATGCGCCGCTGGATCGATAACAACATCATCAGCCAGGTGGTAGAGAATTTGAGTCTTCTTCTTTGGAGGAGTATTTTGAATGGGCCTGGATTCCATCCTTGATGTCGAAGTGAATGCACAGGGATGTTTTTATTTTAACGGACCTGGGTTGACCTACTTATGGGTCTTAGGAATATCCTGGGCAGTAAAGGTGGTTCTCTTTTCTCTGCTTTCTGAGCTTGTGATGTTCTTTACTGCAGATATCACACACACTTTCTTTTATCTCTTGTTGGTTTTCTCTTTTCAACTGGTAACTCCCAATTGTTCATAGGTCTGCCTGTAAATGATCTGTCCACAGTTTTCTTGGTCTGCTCCCATTCAACTCCTTTGTATGCAGGTTTTGTCTACTATGTTATCTGCTTTTAACTCTTGTGTGCTCCCAACCATTACAATCTGTTACAGGGCTTGCAGTGGCCATTAAAACTTAGAAAAAATCGGCAGCTCCTTCTTTAAAGGCTTTAAAAGACCTGGAAAAGTTCAAAGAGGGACTAATGTCCTTGAAGTTTGCTGGCATTAACCTTGAAATACAAAATGAAATGGATCAGAAATGAAAAGACTTTTCGTTAGATCTAAATGTCCTTCATTTGACTTCTTCAGTTGACTGAATTAACTAACTTTGTTCCTTGCAGTCTCTCCGGGTGATGGCTCGGCTGATGAAGGAATGTTGGTACAGCAACGCGGCAGCTCGCTTGACAGCATTGAGAATACGCAAGACTCTGGCTGGGCTGGCAGAGCAAGAGGAAGTCAAAATCTAAAATACAGCGGGCGTGCTCCCTCAGATGTTAACTTCCAGGGGTGCGCATTTTTGTTTTATTCCCTCAGATTTTGTAAATGGGCTGCTTACCTTGACATTTTGTGGGAGCATCTGTGCTAATTGAGTGTAACTTGTATTGTGGCACCTGGGTCTTTTGTGCTGTCAGGTTATCAGTAGCTTGGCACTTGCTTTATCTCCATAAAATGAGACTGCTGCTGGCCTCTTTTCCTTCAAAGTTTGTGATAATGTCTAAGTGGCACTGTGACTAAAGTTCTTGTCTGCCAACACAGCAGTGTTGGGGCTAAGTTCCCTGCAGTTGACAAGTTTTTTTTCTTTTTCTTCAAATTTATAATCAGGGCCAACCCAGTCGCATGAACTGGGGGCTGGATAGTTTAAAGAAGGTTCTGGGTGGGAATGCAGGATAGAACAATGGGTAACCTAACAGAATGGAGTAGAAGAGATTGTGAAAACTGTGGAAGGTAACCTCCTACCCTGTCCTCGTTATGCTGTGGTCTGGTGTATGTGAAAATCTATAATACTTAACCCTCCAGTGGCAGTAATTACCATTAGCTGCCTTGAATGTTGTTTGGCAGCCACAGGTTCTTATTGTCCTTAAGTGGCAGTAGAGCTAAAGTTTTAGATACAAAGTATACCATTTTGGGCAGTTTTTGCTTTGTTAGATTGTGGGCATCTCTTTCATTATTTCATTATCAAGTACCCTGCCACCTGGCATAGGTGATCATTCTTCTTTGCATCTTATGATCTGCGGATACCTATCTGTGCCAATGACAACAGGTTGTCAAGAATCCTCTTACCTTATTTTCCTCTGTCTTTCCAGTTACTTGTTCCAGTTTTCTCTTTTATTCTTCTATTAATATGCTCACGTAATGACAGCTACATCCTCTTTACTGTTTGTGACTCATCTTTGTGTCTTCTCTTGATTCCAACATTTAGATGATACAGCTTGGCTGACCAGAGAGTAGTTGTAAAAAAAGCAGCTAATAACTGTGCTATTCCTACCAATTTTGCGCTATCTGTATCAGACATGGACAGTCCTCGAAAAACATAACATGTGAGATCAGATGTGTAAAAAAAATGCAGCAGGCAAAGCAACAACAATAAACAAGACACAGTCACCAGTTGAGAAGTAAGCACAGTGGTAGGCACAGCACCAGTGAATCTCATAGAACAATGAAGAATCAAATGATTTGGTCATCTGGCCAGAATGGACAAACTGCTGCAAGCAGCTAAAGCATACCACAGGAGAACAGCAGGCTAAAAGGTAAGAGGCCAACCAGCAAGTGGTGGGTGGAGGGAGTAAAAAAAAAATGCAATATGACTTTTAGCACAAGCATTGCAACTAGCAAAAGACAGAAAACTACATCCAGCTCCTTTCTGCGATGCTTTACAGCATGAGCAGTAGGACAGAAGAACCAGTAAGATCTTCAGCATTCTGAAGTAGATTTTCTTGTTTGATTTGCAAGATAAAAAATAGTTCTGTGTAACATGCAAGAATTCTCTTTCTTAACCTATTGACAAGGATTTACTCCCTTTTGTCTTAATCTTATAGCATGCAGGACATGCTTGTCATGTCCTGTTCTTTACCTTTGTGCGTATCTTCCAACTGATATTTGTATTATGCTTAAATAGAGAATTTCTGTACTGCATAAATACGCCGGTTTGTTTACAGTGAATGTTTTGAATTGTGTTGGACCAGCAAGGTTAAAAGGAGTTCACAGAGGTGTCTCTGGGAAAGTAAAGGTATTGTCCTATATCAGCCCTGCTGTGCTGTTTGACCATCATATGCCGCCAGGTGGTTAATGAATGTGTACATTATACAGCAGATCTTGCTGTAAGCAGATCTGTAAAACAAATGTGCATGCAAATCTCAGGTTCTGGAATTGAAAGTCCAGAATTGGACGAACAGCCAGAATCTTCCACTGGAGTTAACGGCCAGTGAACACAGGGTAAAGGTAACGACAGGAGATGTGAACCAGCGTCATTGCACACGATTATAAACCATAAGTGCTCTGCCACTAGGGCGGACAGCTGATAAGAAACTGTCCGCCTGTGTCGCCGTCCGCACGTAACTCCGTAGCTACAGCGATGTTCCTCCATTCACCCCAGAGTGTCAACTCTGGTACCCATTTCATAGAGGCTGGATGAACCCCGGAAACCACCCGGTTTCGAACACTGACTGTGGCTGCAGCGAGTCGCAGCTGGATTTGAAAGCGAACCTCCTATCGACTGCGCTAACGCGGCTCAGTGAACACAAAGAAGAAGCTATGGAACAGTCACCTTTGTAACTCCTGAAATTATAAATTAGAAATAGTTTTGTGGGATTATGCAATGCTTTTTCTCTTTCTGTATCTTTGAATGAGAAAATAGGGGAGAGGTGGGAAAAACACTGAAATAGTTTGTCATGTGTCTTATGTTCAAAAGAACATCAAAGAAAAAGGAGCCTACTTACAAATTTGCAGCCTTCTATTCAAAATGGTTTTCCTCAACAAATATAGTCCTAGAGTTTATATCATGTATATTGAATTTTGCTTTTGTGTTCATGGTAGTATATAAACTGTACTTGGTTACGCAAGAACACTTTGTAAATATGATTCGTGTTTGTAAACTTTGTATAACTAAAATGTTTTTTATTTATAGCATTGTACGATAGGATGTGTGATCATTGTGATTTGTTCTGTATTGTACAGTACGTATTATAATCATGGTGGTATATATTACGGCATTACATGATGCATAGCTTAATATAATGCTATGTTTTATGTTAACCTTGCTACGTATTAAATGGAGCCGGCAGGAATGAGCTGTCCTGAATATTGTTTCTATAAGACATGACAGTAAATGTATAACCCCCATATATTGTAACAGTTGAATAATGAAAGTTAATATGATATGTAAATATATACATATATATTTAACAATGAATAGACATGCCTGATTGTACAGATGTTGGCAAACAATCATTCACTGGCTAGAAGGATTCGTTTTGAAAATGGCATTATTGTTTGTTTGTTATCGTAGTCTACTGCAACATGCCGGTGGTGTGCTGCCTTCTCAGAGCACCAGGCCGGGCTGTGATTGTGTCAGAACATTAGCAGAGAGAGGGAGACTGGCCATCGCTGGGGTGGATTACATCCAATGTTGACAGAAGTGATTGCCTGTGTGTGGTAATGTGAGTCCCCAGGTTTGATTAACTCTGGAACCCTACTCTTTAACCCTTTCACTCTGTGAATGCTAAAAACGAAAAGGGCCAGGCACATATGAGAATGCTGACAAAAATCTTTTCACAGGTCACTATTTAACAAGCAAACAATTATTTACATTAATTTTTTTAATTTGTTTACCCAAAAAATATATATTTATATAGTATATAAAGGGGGGGGGGGGAGGTAGTAGTCAGTAAAGATGAACAGTGTCTAATTCACTGGTATGTTTGTCACCTTGCCTGCATCTGTTGGAATGAGGCTGGAGCAAACACCTAGGGGTCCCAGTCAGTAAAATCCTGTCTCCCTGGGGTTTTGAATGCAAGGCCCATGTAACCAGGTTTTGGGGTTCAGATCCACATCAAGGGAGATTTTTTGCTTCCACATGGGGGTACTAGACTCCACATATAGACACCGGTACTGTGACTCCACACGTAGACACGGGTACTGCGACTCCACACATAGACAGGGGTACTGTGACTTTGCATATATATAGACCTGGGTACTGTGACTCCTATTAATACCAATAGTTACCCTTTTTCAGCTTTCTTGTATAAATTGCTTCATGATTTCCCCTCATTTAACAGGAGGAAAAGGAGGATACTGAACATTGTATGAAGACCAGACAGATGTAGTCGATTTAGGCATGCTAGAGTTAGGGTCAGGTATACAGATAAAGATGCAGTGTGGCCGCAGTTGAAAACTATAGGGGTGTTCTGGGGAGGGGGGGGGGTGGGGTTGAAGAAGAGAGGACAGACAGGAATTTAGGCGCTGACTTTTTCCTCCCCAAATTCAATCTGTATCTGCCTCTCTCTGCAGGATGTGGCCTGTTGAAAATATTGCACAAAGCATGAACTTGTTAACTCCGGGTATTTGTGGAACGTGAACAAATTAAAAAACAAGCTTGTACCTAGATAGCTCAAAGAGGGAAAGGAAAAGACTTTTCAGAATTCATTCATTCATTCAGTAGCATGTCCCTTGCGGAACCTCGCTGCCATAACAACCCTCCGGAAAACCTTCCTATCATGAGCAAGATGTCCTGCGTCTGATACACCCATCTGGAGATCATCTGCCACATCCTGCACCCATCTTCTCCTTGGCCTTCCTCTTCCTCTCTTCCCAGGCATATACCCCTCCATTATTGTTCTCACTAGACTTCCATGACGTTTCAAGTGACCAAAATATTTCAATTTTCTATACCTTGACTAAAATATCATTGGGGAATAAAACCGCAGGAATCGTAAGCTAAACTCCACTAGTGGGTTTCGGCGAGGAGAATAGACCCACTGCCGGCTAGCGAGCATGTTTTAAAGGGCAGCAGGTTAGGGATTTGCTGAAATTAGATGTGTCGGGCAAAAGAGCGCAGATATCGCAGCCTAGTTGTAAACCACGCCACAGCATGCCAGGCGCCATTTCAAGGATGAACACATAAGAAGTTCAACTAAACATAAATAAGGAGGCCGCATACAACTGAAAATGTTAAAACCGGGGAACAGGAGGGACCGTTCCGAAACAGAATTTGATAGATTTGTCTTGTTTATTGACTTCTTGTTATATCTGCTTGACTACAGTCACCCATTTTTTTTAACATTAGTAGAACACGTTTGTTCTAAGGAGAATAAAAGGATAGATGTTCGATAATCTGTCAGCATTGTTGTGAGATCTCCTGAGAAGGATATAGAGCAGAGAAAGTTGCTGTGTAAAATAGTTATACGTTGTGTAAGTTAGTTCTGTAAATGGATAGTGTGCGTTTTTGTGTGTAAATAGCATTTGAGTCTAT